ATTTATAAAAAATCTGCGCATGTTTCCGGGAGCGATAAATTTTATAAAAATATAATTTCAAACCCCTCCCCCTTACCCCCCTAAATTTTCATCCCTCCGGATATATGCGGGTGTTTTCAACCCCCCGGAGAAACCGCATACTCATGTATTTTCCCCGAAATTCATTTTTTTTTTAATTTATAAAAAATCTGCGCATGTTTCCGGGGCGATAAATTTTATAAAAATATAATTTCAACCCCTCCTCCTCACCCCCCTAAATTGTTTCATNAAATTTTTATCCCTCCGGATATATGCGGGTGTTTTCAACCCCCCGGAGAAACCGCATAATCATGTATTTTCCCCGAAATTAATGTTTTTTAATTTATAAAAAATCAGCGCATGTTTCCGGAGAGGTAAAATTCATAAAAATGTAATCTCAGACCCCTCCCCCTCACCTCCCTTCAATTTTCATTCCTCTGGATATATTGCGTCTATTTTTCACAGATAACAAAACCGAGCGTGTGAATAAATTAATTTACTTATTGAATTAATTAATTTTTTAATTCGAAAATCAATGCATAAGCAGATAGTTGTTTAGAACATTATTTTCAATTGTTTTTTCAACATAATTTAAAATATATATAATGTTCATAAACGAATTCTCCGATGACTCCCTGTTATGTCCCAGCGTTGGTGAACAGCACACTAATTTTTGGAAGGATTCTCACAAAATTACGATGTATTTTTTTCTCCGTGTAGTTTCTAGTTTGGCATTTCAGTTTGGGCGCATCCTTGCTACTCCGCTTCTCCACGTCGGTGCCATAACCACAAACAAAAATATCTTCAACAATTACGCGGCCGGAAAATTTTCAGTCGGAACCAAAACTCAAAAAAAAAAATGGTCCGTAAATAATTTTTTGTTGCCTACATGCGCCGAAAGTGAGGATTCTAACCTCGCTTCGCTCGGTTAGAAGAATCACTTTCGCCGCATATAGGCAACAAAATCGTATGCAACCCTCGGGAGGATAATCAGACAAGCATTCCCCACGTGCTTACCACGTGCTCGCCTTCGGCTCGTGAAAACCTCACACTCGTCAAAAAAAATTTTTTTGCCCATGTATCGATCGATATTAACTGTTTTGGTACTTCAGCTTCTTCGAATAATTGTTATGTCTTTGTTCAAACAGAAAGGTCAGCTATTCCTCAAAAATAAAAGAATTGAAGTTGGGAGGCAAGCCATTAAAATTGGAACAATGAAGTCTTGTGCTCTGCAATTGAGATATAGTGTAAGTGTTCAACGTTTTAAATGTTATTACCGAAGTGACTGCTAATATGAAAGAAACATTTGGGTTTTTTCAGTCTGTGACCAAACTCCATTGTTTACTTCATTCTTCCCCAGCAGGAGTCATAGTTTTTTATTTCGCCAGCAAGAATGGAACCTAAGTCAATAGAGTAATTAAATTTTTTGATAATTTTACTTGTGAAAAATTTAAGAGAAAACGTTGTAAGAATTCCCTAGTTTTAACAAGCAAGTTAATACCCTACTTTACATTGTTTCAGGAAAGGGTGAAGATGATGACGCCACTTGTTCTCACTCAATCCTGTTATCTGCGTTTTGGAATGGTAAAGGCTTTTCTCAAAATAAATGAGGAACGATTGTTTTTTCAGGGCAATCGTAATAAGCTCAGGAAGAGGAAATTGCAATTGCGCCAATCCACGTTGAAATCAGCCGTGCGAGATGCCAATTCTGAAGGTAAATTCAGCGCAGTAGGTAACTGCCTCGTTGAGTGTCTCAGACAAGATGGACGGAGTCTTCCTGCCCATAAACGCCAGAAATTAGAAAAAATTTGTCATTAAAAATCAGGCAATTATTAACTCGCTTGATTCGTTTTCATATTATTACGATTATATTCATAAATAAATCATGAGCTGAGTATCCAATTGACGGTAACAACGTATTAGAGACGCAATGCTGATCAACGCTGCAGTATGTTTAGTGACCGTTTTTATGAATATAACACTAGAAATGGCGCACGCTACGCAGCGTTGATCAGTATTGCGTTTTATTTATGAATTTAATCGCAATAATATGTTGCACTTTACTGGTTATCATGATATTTACAGCCAAGTGCAACACATGGCAATATTTCGTATACACCACTGTATATCAGCACATCGGATACAATCAGATTTTGTTTATCATTGTTTTAAAATCATAATTGTCAATAGGTCAAAATCAATTTTTTTTTAAAATTAACTTTGAAGCTATGGTACAGTGCCAACCTGTTAATTGAATGAGAATATAATCATTTTAATCCCATTGTTAAAAATGTAGTAAAATAAATACAATTAATGTGATATACAGTTACATTGTACATCAGTGTATATTAACACCCACCCTTCAGACGATAAAATGGGCTCTTGATGCAGAGCCATTGTACACCGGTGTATGTTAACACCTCAGCGCAAAAAAAAAATTTTTTTTTTCCAATTTCCATTGGTCAAAAATTGCATAAAATTTGCCAAATCGTCTCTCAAATAAAGTTAAAGTTTTATTTTTTATTTTCAAATATTAAGGTTAATGAATTAAAATTTATTGGCTATTACATAATACACATGTCAATAAGAATCAAAAATCCGTTGGAACGATAAAATAGACGATAAAATGGCCTCAGCGCAAGAAAGAAGAAGCGATGCCAAAAATTCTGAACGACTTCTTGTTTCACTTGTCGACAGAAACAGAATTTTAGAGGACGAAATTCTGTGCTCGAAAATGCAGAGGAGATTTCGCTCTGACATCTGTCAACAGTGCAGGTAGATGCGATTCGGTTATCATCTCGGTTGGCAGTCGAAGACTGAAAATGGGTCCAGCCTGAAAACATTCAGGAATCTTGCTGAACAATTGAAAAAGTCGAGAAAATTCAAAAAATCATGATTCCGATCGAAATCTTAAGAATCATCATCACCGCTGCTGTCATCACGATCAAAATCCTCCTCATCAGCGTCGCTATCATGACCATCACTGTCATGATCAGATCCATCATCTTCGTTGTCACTTCCACGATCATCACATTCATGTTCCCCATCAGTCTCGTATTCACTGTCGTTACCATTCACGTCACTGTAATTAATATCATTGAGCGTCCAAGTTTGTATCTTCAAAACAGGCGAAAACCCCGTCCTGTCAAGTTTCTTCTTGCGCACGCTAGTTTTCACTTTCAAGCCAATTCCATTCTCTCTGCACTTCACTGCTTCATTAGCAATTGCAAAAAATGCAGCAGTTATGCCACAATTCATGGCATGAATGTAGTGCAATTTTGATAACGATTTGACAACCATTCCAAGGCTCTCATTCGTTACTCTCTTGCAGAGTGCGCAATTTAATGTCTCCAAGTTTTGAGCTTCACCGAGAAATTTGAGAGTGATTAATCTCATTTTTGTGAAGCTTACGGATTTCAGATTTCGCAGTGTGGGTAGTAATTGTATTGCTCTGTCTGTCAGTTTCCTTGAACCTGAAATTGTTGAATGATGACAATTATTGGGGACAATTATAATTATCATTCATTGCACAGTCCGACAAAATTTTGATACTTTTTGCCCCAGAAATAGGACTGCATACTTAGTCGATTTTGGTGTGTTGATTTCGAATTTTTTTGTACTCTTTTGATTAATGCGATCGTTGCTGAGAAAAAAAACATTGAACAGGCAAAAAGTACCAAAAATAACCATTTTGTAAATTCAACAAAGGGGCAACGCCCCGGCGTGACAGATGAGCCGCCAGTCTGTCCCCCGTGCGACCCAGGTTCAATCCCTGGGTCGGGACTCTGGAATGCCATTTTTCTAAATTACAGAAAAATGGCGACACAATACAACTACTTTGGAAACTGGAAAAATGGCGGAAAAAGTGAAATTGGAGGGCTGGAAGTAAAAACACAAACACATGAGAAGAGACCGTAAAAAGCGAAGAGCTGTACGGTGGAGGGGCTGGAAGAAAAAAAAAATTCAACAAAAAAATAAAAATTGCACATGTGAAGATCAGATAAAAAGTACTGAAAAAAGGAAATTCGCAACTTTATCACTGAATCGAATCTTATGTTGTCAGTGTTTTGACGGGGCCGTGGAAAATTGATGAAAAATCTTCCAATCTTTTCAAATAATAAGACATGGCTTCCAGTCTGAAGTTGCATCATCAGGTATATTTTTCTGCACTAAATTTGACATTTCTGCCTTGTGAACTAAAGTGATGATACTTGTGGACGATTTGTGAGAGTTTTCTGTTTGTATCTTCTTCTAATTTTCTTGCTGATCCAGTTCGGTTACGATTCTTGTGACAGAAATGTCAAATTCAATGCAGAAAAATACACGCGGAGATGTAACTTCAGACTGGACGCCATGTCATCATCATTTTAAAAAATAAGAAGATTTTTCATGATTTTGCAGGCATTTTTTAGGACCTCGTCAGAATGTTTGAAAAATCACATTCATTTTCACAATAAAGTTGCGAATTTCGTCTTTTCTTTGCATTTTATCTGATCTCTGTACGTGTAATATTCATTTTTTTAATTGAATTTACAAAATGCCTATTTTGGGTACTTTTCGCCACTTCAACATTGTTTTTCTCAGCAACGATCGCATCAATCAAAAAAGTGTTGAAAAAATCGGAATCAGCACACCAAAATCCATAAAGTGTGCACAGTCCCATCTTTCGGGCAAAAAATATCAAAATTTTGTCGGACTGTATTATTTATCCTGTTTTTTTTTAACTCACCGTGTAAACATAGAGTCTCCAGATTGGGATTGTTCTCCAACATTTTTGAAACAGCACAATCAACAACAATAGACCGTTCATCATTCATGCCGAACAAATCAATTTTGAGTGTCTTGAGTTTTCTCAAATACTGAATGTCCTGAATGTAATCAGCGGAATCTACGGCACATGCTCTCAGATCCAGATGAACTAAATTTTGAAGATTTCTTATTCCAACGATGTTACCCAAGCGAGGACTAACGTTCAATGTCAAATGATCCAGGTCCACAAGTTTTGAGAAATCAACATTCTGTTCAGACAAATGAACATAATCAGACTTGTTACATGTGAAAGGACAAATGAAATGTAAACTACAAATCGATGATATACTTACGAAATGATGGGAAAATGCGTGATTTGTCTCAATGCACAGTTCTCTCAAGGTTTCCGGCGGACTATCGATACACGCAAGTGGTGGTTGTGAGGTATATCCCACGCATGTCAGCGATTTTAGATTGACCAGTTTAGCAAACAATGCAGAGACATTATTTTGAATTACATTGGAATCTTCAAGACAAACTGCCAAGGACAATTTTTGCAAATTCTCACACGGTCCACGTGTGACAGGAATCAAAGCTGATGATGCAGTAATCCATTGTAATGCCTTGAGATGTTTGCCGTACTTGTCAATCAGGTATTCCGCGTGTCTCTCATCATTGCAATGTATCCAAGAATCCAGCGACCTCATAGATGACACAGCAACACTCGCCCATCGCTTGCAAACCTCTTCGGCTCGGAAGATGTCATTTGTATTGAGCTGCAAAAATATAAGGCGCAGACAGTCATCAGGCAGTTTACTCGTGTGTGAGGATTGGTCTGACATCAAAGTTGCAGTTAGAACGTAATCGTCGCCTTTTATCTCCATAACAATCTCTCTGTTGTGTCTCTGACTCATCACAGGCTCTAAAACATGAATCAAATCAATTACATGATTGAGGATGCACTGGAGAGGTTTTCAAAACAATAGAAAGTGTTTGAATTTTTTTCTCCGTAATCTTAAAGTTATTTGGAAGTGCTGTGCAAAATTTTAGACAATTTGAGCGTTTGTGAGGAGAGAAATTAAGGAGAGTCATAAGCTGGACACGAAAATGAAGGAAATGTGACAGACCTCTGATTTTTTTATGGGAGATTTATAAGTGCAAACAAAACGTCTGTGCAAATTTTCAGACCACCTCACCAGGCATTCTGAAGAACAATAAATAATTAAAGTTCAGTTTCATACATGAGGTTATAGGGGAGGGTGGGGTAAAACGGACACTTTAGACTTTTTTATTATTATTCATAACTCAGAAACAAATTGATCAATTGAGCTCAGTTTAGGCTCGTCACAAAGGGAAAGAATTGTTCTTTGTATTGAGAAAAAAAAATATTAAATTTTATCAACATTTCAACCCCTTATTAATATTTTAGAAAAAGTCAAAAGTGTCCGTTTTACCCCAGCCTCCCCTAATATGGCGATATCGGCAAAGTAAGTAGTTTCTCGATGTTATCGCTCAGTTGATAATGTATGGGGACCAACTTTGACAATCAATTTCTCTCTTCACAAACGGTCCAATTGTCTGAAATTTTGCACAGCGTCTCCAGAGATTATTTCTCCCATCTGAATTTCAGCCAACAGGAACTCAGGATTTGACGGTTTTCGGAGCAGCGTGGGAAAAATTACAGCGATAATTTTCGGTTATTCTCACTTCGTCGCACATCAACTGAAATTATCGACAAACAAATCGCGCTTCGCGTTCGTGATTTTTAACCTGCCAAACTTGCCTCACCAGTTGCTGAGCAACAAAAATTTCAGAAAATTTTCGACAATTTTAAAGCACTCGTGGTATTACGTCTGAAAAAAATTCAAACACTTTGTACAATTTACGAATCACTCCAGTACACCCTTGACATTGATTGTCAATTGATGAAGAAGAAGATACAATAGATTTACCTTCGTGCATCATCAGCGTCATCAAAAATCATTTGTGCAAAATTCTTGAGATTCTTGCCACAAAAACGAAATTTTCCATCGCGAGACCACAAATACACACATTTTAACGATCCATTCGTGCAATGAGGGCTGAAGAGAGTCTCCAATATTGCAAGATCCTTTCCACAACAGCGATCATCATCGATAACACTTTCATTGTCATCTTCGTGAAACGAGTGACGAGGGGACAGATGACACAAAGGAAGACCCTGAACAACAACCGTTGTCATCTTGCAAGCCGTCAAAATGAGAGGTTATGATGATTTTCCGACAAACGATGTACTGACTGTTTTTTTTTGCTGGCAGGTTCTAGGTTCAAGGTTTTTTTTTGTTTTTTTTTTTCATTTGAGCATTTCAAACTGTACAGTTTTTTCTGCTATGTACAAAACTTTGTTGTTTTTTACACTTTTATTGCACTTCTTGGAAATAAGCTTATGATTCTCAGAGTTCTTATGTCAAGCAGTTTGAAGAATGTTATCGCGACCAACATTGGGCCACAGGTTAGTTTCCAATGCACCAGCAGAGGACCACAAGGTATTGAGTGCGTTTCGGAATCAACTACCGTAGCTGCAGTAAAGCAAAATTAGGGTTGCAGTACTGCTACTGCTACTACGTCGATTGCGAAACGCGCCCATTATCTGAACCTTTAGATGCTACCCCAGAGGACCAGGGAACCCCCAGGTACCTAGCCGACATAGGTCACTAATTAGAAAAATGATCTTATGTACTCGATTGTACATCGTTAGTACATGATTGTACAGTGATTTTTTTTGTTTGTACACCCACCAATTAATTTAAAAAAATTAATGAAGTTTTGGCATGATTCTAGCCGACAAAAATTTCAAACTGTTCAATCAGCTCAAGTTAGGGGTCTATCTCAAAGGAAATCGTTTGTACATTACGAATTTGATATTATTATCGTTTGTACAATCATCATTTATTAGTTAAAGCTGCGGTAAGTAATCATTGTCAACCCCCCCCTCGCCCCGCAGATCATTGGTAGTTCCTACGTTATCGACATTAATATTTACATACACTCTGGTCCGTTGTTTATATCGTTGTCCATATTATTATTCCATTATTTATCCCAATAAATGAACATTGAATGCTTCGAAGTTACAGTTTATTAAGCATCAATGGGTACATTCGTTTTTTTTTCGAGCACGGAGGAATACTTGTGTGCAGTGTTCTATCACCTTGCATTCTGACAGGTAGAAAGGGTTATGGTTGATTACAATCATTAGCAAAAAATTTACTAATGATTTGCACCAGGAGAAGGTCCGCCGATGTTGGCACATGCCGAGTGATTTCTCTCTTCGAGGGAGAAATTGGCAGTAAGTAAAATTGATTTTATTCCAAATTCAATCATTCATTCTCTTAATTTTTTTACAGTCGATTCCTTGTAAAAATTTCGTATAAATAAATGACATTAAATTTCTCATGCGCAAATTTTATATTTTCATTCAGTTACTTTCATTTGATTGATTCATTTTCCCTTTTGGAAGGCAAAATTCAATTTCACCGTTTATTAAGGGAAACTTGAATAAAACCTCAGACAAAATTCGTTTTTTTTCCAAGACTTGATCAGTAATGGCTGAATACCTTGCTCCCAAAAAATAAAAAAATTCTCTTAGACTCATCTCCCCGGCACCCATCTCACTAGGAGATTTTTCCACCGGAAGGACCTTCTAATGAACATCATGATTCTTTCATTTTTATGAATCTTTCAGATCAGATTAAAGTCAGAAGACCGACGAAGATGATTCATAAACATGCCCAATTCTTCGCAGTCAGGCCGGAGATGTTGAAGTCTGGGTGGCTGAAAGATATTCCGGAGCACTTGCTGGGATTTGAGAAGCAGCTTGGAAGGCTGGAGATGTTCTTGTCCGCAAAAATACCATCTTGGAGGGCTCATCAGTCTTGACTGATGCTGTGGTTGATCCCAGGATGTTCCTCGTGCAAACCGATGAGTACGAGGGAACGTCCTTTGGGACGATTTTTGGAGTTGTGGGGGCTCAGGGAAATTCATGTGGGCGTTGAAGTGCTCAGATGCTGTTGTCCAGGTGACACCGTATGGGAGGATAAAGGGGGGACTCGCTGGGAAGCTGGGGAGGCACTGCAGGTGGGTCATGGCCTGGAAAAACTCAATTGACTTTTTTTTTCTAGTAATTTTGAGGTTTTTTTTTACAATTCTCCATGGAATTCCGATTTTCATATACTTTCTCCTCCACAAGGATCCAACAGACCGAGTAGTCGCCCTCTCCGTCTTCGAGGCCTTCGCCAATGTCGAGAATATGACTCCAGAGATCCTGGAGATCCTCTTCAGCAAGTCTGGCGATATGAAACTCTCGAAACGCCTGCAAAGCCCCCAATCCCCTCCATCACAGGCTCCAAGCTATGGGGAAAACAACGAAGAGGTCGACTGCTCCGATCGAGAGTCCTCGCTGAATGATTCTGATGTGCCAGAATGTCTGAGAGAGTCGACTGGACCTCGTAGAGATACGGAGGACTCCCCATTTCTAATCCAGATCTCTCTGAATAACATCTCAGATAAAAAAATTCACGCACCAGCGAGACTGCAGCCGTTCAAACTTCTGGGGGCTCTGATAAACTGCCTCGAGGGAGAATTCTCTTCAAGTTTCATCTAATACTCTTCATCAAGGAGTTCCTGATAGAAAGAAAATCAAAATAAAATTTCAATAAAATAAAAAAAAAACAATTTTCAACAACTAATTTTGCCAATATCTCGTTAACTGTTGACTTCAGCGGAAAATTTCACTCTACATATTCTTCAGCAAATTCAATTTTCAAGAAGAAAGATAGTTTCATATTTTTCACTAAAACCATGCCTGAACGAGATATTCGAGTAAGTAATCCCAGTAGCATTATATTTGCCATAAAAAAGCTCAAAAACCATAACTTTCAACGACCCCTTCGCTGAGGCAAGAAATAATCAATAAAAAAATGAGAAGAAATAATGAATATTTGAAATAAAATCATTACACAAACTATTCTGAAATTTTATCATTTTTATTATTGATAATGAATAATAATTTTTTTTTATAAAATATATTTTTTTAATTTCAGGATAAACGAATTTCTGGCTTAAATGAGAGGTATCACAAGGGAAACTAGGCGCCCTGGATGAGAGAAACTTCTCCAAATCTCAAAAATTATGTCATTTGTTAGAGAGATACAATACATTTCTACTTTTATCATTTTTTTTTCACAAAATATGAGAGAAATAAAGTGTTTATTAGAACTGATGCTTTGCTTCTATCTTTGACATTGAATTGAAAATTCCATGTGTTTTTAATATTTCAATTATTCTTAAGGTAAAGTGAACCCGATCATCAATTTATCTTGCAATAAACTCCATGAACTATTACTCCAAAGCTCTGCAACATTTTTTAAAATGATAAGTCATGAAAAAAACATTGATTAATTGAAAAGAATAATTATCATAGATGTCATTCATTAGGAAGATTGTGTACACGTATTAGAAATAATCCTACCGGACAATAATTGTTATAAAAAATGTTATTCTTACGTATAACACGTACACTGTACATTTGCACTCTAATTATACCACGTAATGATTGCATACACGCCTCTGCTTCAATAACTAAATCTAGTTTGTCTATAACTATGTGAATTTGTTCACAGATAACAGTTTCAAATAGAAATTAGTTTTCAATTACTTGATGTGCTAAAATACATTTTCGTAATCATACAGAAAAAAGTGATTTTTTTTTTCATTCCTCCTAATAATTTCTTGATTATTACGACTGAAGACTACAACTCATCTGGATTGATCAAAAACAGTGCGCATTCAGGTCGAATTGTTGGATTTCCTCTGACAGGTTGCACTTTGCTGAGTAGTCCATTATGGCATTCCCATTTGCCAGTACGACGACGACAATAGGCTACGAAGTGATCGTACTTCTGATCATATGCGACGAGTCCAGATAATCTGATGGAATAATTGTATATTGTTATTTTTAATCGTCTGAATTCCAAGATATATTTAAATCAGGTTTGAATTCAAGTCAACGGAATAAATACTGAGACGTACAAGAGAGAATCTTGGAGAAGTTCGTAATCAATATAAATTCAAATAAATTACAGAAAATTTATCATGATCATTCAGAGAGGACTCTAGACCGAAGCAGTTGACCTCTTCATTGTTTTCTCCATCGCTTGGGGTTTGTGATGGGGGCGTTTCGAGAGGTTTGTATCGTCAGACTTTCTGAAGAGGATGTCCAGAACGTCTGGAGTCATATTCTCGACATTGGCGGAGGCCTCGAAGACGGAGAGGGCGACTACTCGGTCTGTTGGATCCTTGTGGAGTAGAAAGTATATGAAAATCGTAATTCCATGGAGAATTGTAAAAAAAACCTCAAAATTACTAGAAAAAAAAAGTTAATTGAGTTTTTCCAGGCCATGACCTACCTGCAGTGCCTCCTCAGCTTCCCAGCGAGTTCCCCCTTCATCCTCCCATACGGTGTCACCTGGACAACAGCAGCTGAGCACTTCAACGCCTGCGTGATGACTGCCAAGTTGCCCTCCTCACTCAGCACCAGCCCCAGCCACAGCCCCACATGAATTTCCCTGAGCCCCCACAACTCCAAAAATCGTCCCAAAGGACGGTCCCTCGGACTCATCGGTTTGCACGAGGAACATCCTGGGATCGACCACAGCATCAGTCAAGACTGATGAGCCCTCCAAGATGGTATTTTTGCGGACAAGAACATCTCCAGCCTTCCAAGCTGCTTCTCAAATCCCAGCAAGTGCTCCGGAATATCTTTCAGCCACCCAGACTTCAACATCTCCGGCCTGACTGCGAAGAATTGGGCATGTTTATGAATCATCTTCGTCGGTCTTCTGACTTTAATCTGATCTGAAAGATTCATAAAAATGAAAGAATCATGATGTTCATTAGAAGGTCCTTCCGGTGGAAAAATCTCCTAGTGAGATGGGTGCCGGGGAGATGAGTCTAAGAGAATTTTTTTATTTTTTGGGAGCAAGGTATTCAGCCATTACTGATCAAGTCTTGGAAAAAAAACGAATTTTGTCTGAGGTTTTATTCAAGTTTCCCCTAATAAACGGTGAAATTGAATTTTGCCTTCCAAAAGGGAAAATGAATCAATCAAATGAAAGTAACTGAATGAAAATATAAAATTTGCGCATGAGAAATTTAATGTCATTTATTTATACGAAATTTTTACAAGGAATCGACTGTAAAAAAAATAAAGAGAATGAATGATTGAATTTGGAATAAAATCAATTTTACTTACTGCCAATTTCTCCCTCGAAGAGAGAAATCACTCGGCATGTGCCAACATCGGCGGACCTTCTCCTGGTGCAAATCATTAGTAAATTTTTTGCTAATGATTGTAATCAACCATAACCCTTTCTACCTGTCAGAATGCAAGGTGATAGAACACTGCACACAAGTATTCCTCCGTGCTCGAAAAAAAAACGAATGTACCCATTGATGCTTAATAAACTGTAACTTCGAAGCATTCAATGTTCATTTATTGGGATAAATAATGGAATAATAATATGGACAACGATATAAACAACGGACCAGAGTGTATGTAAATATTAATGTCGATAACGTAGGAACTACCAATGATCTGCGGGGCGAGGGGGGGGTTGACAATGATTACTTACCGCAGCTTTAACTAATAAATGATGATTGTACAAACGATAATAATATCAAATTCGTAATGTACAAACGATTTCCTTTGAGATAGACCCCTAACTTGAGCTGATTGAACAGTTTGAAATTTTTGTCGGCTAGAATCATGCCAAAACTTCATTAATTTTTTTAAATTAATTGGTGGGTGTACAAACAAAAAAAATCACTGTACAATCATGTACTAACGATGTACAATCGAGTACATAAGATCATTTTTCTAATTAGTGACCTATGTCGGCTAGGTACCTGGGGGTGACCAGGGAATGTTCTGGAGGGTTCTGGACGCCTTTCGTTGAGGCATCATTACCAACAGACGGAAGAATTCGGTGGTTCCGCAAAGTGCCGACAGATGGCGCCACATGGGGTTTTTTTACGCGTAAAAAAGTCGAAATGCATGCTGGGTATTTTACCTAATTTATTACGCGGAAAAAACCATGTAATTTACCGGAGGTAAATTACTTGCCCAACGCTGAGGACCACACAGCCATGCAGTTGGTATGTGTAGGTAGCGTAGGTAGTTTTGAGGTAAGATGGAGAACTTCAACGAGTTTAACTGCGAGTGTTAATATACACCGGTGTATAATGGCTCTCCACCAAAAGCCCATTGTATTGTACCAACGGGTTTTTGATTTTTATTGAGATGTGTATTATGTAACAGTTAATAAATTTTAACTTACTAACCTTGATATTGAAAAAATAAAAATATATATTTCCAAATATATATCAAACAGATAAAATAATTCTTTTCTTTTTTTTTTTAAATTGTTATTTGCATTGTTTTTATCGGTCTTTTAAGAAATGTTCGCCACCTTTGTTCAAGTAATTGCAAACACAAATTTTAACTTTATTTAAAAGAGGATTTGGCAAATTATAAGAATTTTTTTTTTTCATGAAATTTTTGACCAACTGACAATTTAAAAAAATGCTTTTTTTGAGACGTGAAGAATGTGCTAGATAGGCGAGTTCCCAAAGCACCATTTTGTTTGGTTTGTTATATGATGAGAAAAGAGGCCAAAAAGATGGAAATGCCAAAACACAAGGAGAAAATGTTAACGGTCTAAAGCTACATCAGTGTATATTAACACCCGATTTTTCTTTTTTGTTTCATTTTTTTATGTTGTAGTAATGTGTACGAATTAATATGTGGAACGAGACCATGATTGAGTATCAATTATTTAAGATTGTCCTCTACAATTTGGTCACCTGTGATGATCACTCGAATGGTAAAAAAAGAGAGAAATATAAAAAAAAAAATTAAAAATGAATAGAGTTTGGCCACTTGCCACTTGAGGACAAGTTCATCGGCAGCTATTCTGTGAAATCCCTTATATTCTACTTGTATTTAAAAAGAGAACAACGTATGGCCAAAGTAGACCGTTGCTCCTTGAATACTTTTGTCCTGTGCTGGCAGTTTTGCATTGCTTAAGTAACTTAGTTACCATATACTGCATCGAACACTGGCTTTTTTTGCTTGTTACATTCAGACTAGTCGATTAGCGGCTATTCTGCGAAATCCCTCATATTGTACACGTACTTAAATAGAGGACAACATATGACAGCAGAAATGCTTTCAATATACATTGATGTATGAGGTAACTACAAACCACGAAACGTATCAATTTTTCATGTTTTACATTTTTATCGTTTTTGAAACCATTTCAGCGATCATGGCTGATGAACAACCCATGGAGGACTATTTCAATTGGTTCATAGTTAGCCCCGATGTCTTTCTAAGCATTAATTCGCATTTACAGGGAGGAAAGCGAGGAAAAATGCCAATGACGTGTTAGTATACACTGATGGATACTGAAACTACATTAATAACGCTTGTTTTTTCTGCACATATTGTACTGCATACATTTCAAAGGAAATTTGAATAACTCAAAAAATGTGGAAGTTTCAGCATTTGTGTTTGCAAAAATGATGGGAGCAATAATAAATAACTAACGAGCGAGTGAAAAAATTATCGATTGGTTAAAAGTAACAATGTTAATTAGTATAACCGATCTATCAGATGTTAATTAGAATTTTGGCAAATAAAGTCCAGTAATTTTCTTTAACTGTTCCATTAACACAGAAAGTTTTTCATTGACTACATTCATTTCAATCATCATCTAGTCGTAATGTAGATCAGCATATACTAACACCAAGAGTATACGCTGTATTAAGTTTATTCAATGATTCAACAAAACCCGACGGAGGTCAGCCACACACTGTATTAACACCTGATTTTTCCAAAATTTATGTGGGAATAAATGAAAAAAATGATTCACAGTAGTTCGCAGGGAACTACTGTGAATCATTTTTGGGATTGCTGTGCTTCGCAGGGCTGTCCGCACAGCAATCGACACCAACAGATCAACAGCAATTTAGGACATCCTACAACAACGAAGACCCTCTGGAGAACTTTAGATATTGAGTGCGTTGCGCACACTAATCGTGGTTCCGCTGTTTATTTTTTTTCTTGACCAACCCTCACTGACCCAGGGACCACCCTCACGCGTCGGCCCAGCAACTCTCGCTGTCGGCACCGCCGAGCGAATCATCAATTTTCGAACCCCTTTCTCCATGTCAGAACCGATCCTCGTCATCTACACCACCGAACCAATCACAATATTTCTACACCCTTACCTAGCTGTATAAATATCACAACTTTGTAAAATCTATATAGTCAGTACGACTTGAACCATCAAGAGAGCAAGTTCTCTCTTGGTGGAATAAACTACCAGAACTTTTCGGCACTAAAAACTGAACTTTCGCATTTTCAGTCTATCATCACCTTACCTCTACAAATTGCACAAAAGACCTAACCGGCTTGCAATAGTTTCCACCAATAGATAGACTACTGTAATTTACTCTATAGACTACTGGAATTTATAACTCCAGTAGGTTCTGCAGAACTATATCTATTGGGGCGAAAAAAAACCATCATACTTTCCTCGAATAATCGCCTATGTTTCCGTCTTCTCCTCACAACTCCTGCCTTCCCTGATTTGACCCAGCGGCGTATTGCATTCACGATCGGAAAATTGTATCCACGGGCCTAACGCGACAACAGGTTGTTTGTGTGTTACTTATCGCTGAATTTCTGCACTCATTGCGCAATATTTGATGAATTCACTGGGTGCCGTAAGTATACCTCAGGCTGGTGATATGGATCTACATAAATTTCAATTGGCATTACTCTTGCAGCAGGTCTTTCCAGGTGTTAATTTGCATTTCCCAAATCAAAATTAGCTGAAAGAAGGGAGAGATGGAGGAAAGGGGAAGTGTTAGTATACACTGACGTACAATGTAACTATATACAACATTAATTGTATTTATTTCACTTCATTTTTAAAAATGGGATTAAAATGATCAAATTCTTATTCAATTGATAGGTAGACACTGTACCGGGGCTCCAGAATAAATTAGAAAAAACAATTGATTTTGACTAATATACGATTATGATTTTTAAACAATGATAAACAAAATGTATTATTGTATCCGAGGTGCTGATATACAGTGGTGTATACGAAATACTGCTATATGTTGCAATTAACTGTAAATATCATGATAACCAGGTGTATTTTAAAATAAAAGTTACACGTAGTCATCACGATATTTCACCAATATGGTCATGGTCAGCAGGTCATGGTCAGTTCTCTGCCTCACCAACTATCAGAATGAGGTACAGTGCCTTTTATTCAGTGTGAAATTGCGATTCGTTATCAGCAAATTGTTTGCAAAAATTCCATTTCGATCCGACGTATTATTTTTTGAACTAGAATGACCTGGGCTCCTGCTGGTGCTGACCACAGCGAGTGAGGAACTGCCTGGCGTTTCTCTACCTCTCCAACGATCAGAATGAGCTATCGTGCGTTTTATTCAGTGTGAAAGTGCGATTCGTTTTCAGCAAATAGTTTGCAAAAGTTCCATTTCGATCCGACGCATTATTTTTTGCACTAGAATGACCTGGTCTCTTGCTGGTGCTGACCACAGCGAGTGAGGAACTGCCTGGCGTTTCTCTGCCTTTCCAACGATCCGACTGAGGTGTGAACATACACCGGTGTACAATGACTCTGCATCAAAAGCCCATTTTATCGTACCAACGGGTTTTTGATTTTTATTAACATGTGTATTATGTAATGGGTAAAAAATTTTAATTTAATAACCTCAATATTTGAAAATTAAAAATAAAACAATATATTTTCAAATATATAACTGACAGATAAAATGATTCTGTTTTTTATCATTATTATTTTCTAAGAAATATTCCCCACCTCTGGTCAAGTAATTTCAAACACAAACTCTAACGTTATTTAAGAGACGAATTGGCAAATTGTAAGAAAGTTTTTCTTGAGTGCAATTTTGACCAACTGAGAATTGAAAAAAAAAATGCCTTTTTGCGTTGAGGTGTTAATATACACCGGTGTACAATGGCTCTGCATCAAGATCTCATTTTATGTTTTCAATGGGTTTTTGATTTGTATTTACATGTGTATTATGTAATAGTTAATAAATTTTAATTTATTAACTTCGATATTTGAGGGGATGTGAAGCTGCAGAAATGATTTTAACCACAACAAATTGTTTTCTTTTATTATTTCTCACAAAAAATACGTAAACTGCACAAAAAAAGAGTCGTAAATCTTTTTTTTTTCATTCTGCGGAGGACCTCATTCTTTCATCTCTGTTTTCATCTCTTTTTACATGCCTTCTTCCGGGCTTCTATTTCCTGCTCTGTAATTTTCATCACGGGTGCATTTGGATTCTCGTTTATCCATTGTTTTCTGAGAGCGAGAGAGATGTTATCGGCTTTCTCCCATGTTAGACCGTCCCATCCCACCCACTTTACAAGCCATATCCTCCTTCTTTGTTTGTTCTGACCGCACGCCATCAATTCTTCAATTTCATACTCTTCCTCGCTGTTCAATCGATCTCGTAATGTGCCAAAGTTCGATGTTACGAAGGCATTCACCTCTTCTTTGCTCCAATTCTGGTCCTGAGGGGGTGGAGTGTTACCCCTGCCCTCAGGGCTTACTGTTCGTCTGTTGTTATCGCCTCCATGACGTGTGGTCCTCTCTTGCTCTTCATCGGTGTCCCTTTCATCGTGTGTTTGCGACGATGATGCGTTACCTTGCATGCGTTTTGCCATCAATTCCAGCTTTGCAAGTGATATCGTTGGCTCGTTTTCGTCCACAGAGCTGTCACTCGCTGACACGAAGGACGTGTGTATGCCGGCCGCATCAATTTTCGGGGATCTTAAACTCGAGGCCATGTTGCTCGGCCCGGCTTCCGGAGATGATGTCATCATCGAAGTTTTGATGCGGCCGGGGGCGGTGACATTTAAATCCTTCTGAGAGGTCTCTTCGTCCTCTGCTTGTGCAACGGAATCACCACCCGGAGATTCATTGGTGGTAGTGGAACGCTGTGTCTCTTTTGCGTCACGGTTGACCTCATCTCCATAATCACCGTAAAATGCGCATTTCGATGACCCTGATGATTCTTCATCAGAATCTTCTGACGATTCTGACCCGGACGAAGAATCTGACGAGTCTGTACTTCGAGATGTGTCTCCGACAAGGAATTGATCATCAAACTTCTCAAGTTCAGCTGAAGAAACCAGGGGCGTGTGTGATGTCTTTACAAATTGAAAGTTGATGAGTTGATTCTGCAAAACAAAAAGAAAATTGTATTCTAAGAGCTAGTTGCACCAAGTCGAGTTAGCGACTTTTAAAATATAGAAAGATTCGTCTATGCTTTTATGGTGCGATAATTCAAAAAGTATGGAATAAAACGTTAAATTAAAAAAAAGACAAATGAGAAATTTCTGCGTGATTGATGATGAAAAATGACATTGAATAAATAGTAATGTTGATGTACTGGCATTTACTATGAACTTATATAAAAAATCTATGATGAAAATGTATCACTGTAGCCTAGGTGTCAACATACACTAGCGTGTACATTTTCCATGTTATAATCCACTAACTGGTGTCAGTATGCACCAATGCATAAAAACAAAGATTAAATGATGACACTCATTATTCAACTTACTTCATCCTCTGAATCTGCGGACTTGTCTGAAACCGAAGACTTGTCAACTGTAGGTGAAAGCGTTACGTTAGTCTCGTCGGGGTCTTCGTCCTTCTGGCGCTCATCGTCAATTTCCATTTTTCCTCCAGGTGATTCTTCTCCTGCCGGCTGTGCAACTTCACCGTAACTTGCGGGAGGCATCTAGAAATATATATTATCATAAATTTGAAACTGAATAAAAATCAACAAGTGGAAGTCTTGTCGAGCCTTACGTTAGTATCGTCTCGAGGCGATGGAGGACGTTGTTCCACTAAAGTCTGTTGTTTTTTGAAAATGGTGTACTTCTGATTCCCATCCACTTTAACCACACTTGACACCTTTGGACCCTTGAAGTTTCTCTTTCCAAGCGGCAACGTTTCAACCGCAGAATCTGTGGAGTTGCTGTCGTCAGGGAGTGCAGACTTGTCCTTTGAAGGTGAACGGCTCGAGTCATTCCCGTCAACGTTTTCATCGAGCTCATTCTGATCCGGAAATATGTCAGCTTCTGGAAGTACCTTTTGTAACTCCACTGGCATGTTTCTCTCATCTTCCCGTTCCTGAGGTGTTGAAGGAAATTGTCCGTCAATGTCCACATTTTTGTTGTCAGTTAACTTTTCCTGCTTTTCAGCCGTAGAGGTGGAAGTACTTCTGGTGTGTTCGCCTCCAATCTCACTTCGCAGTCTGTAGTTTTGATCGTTGGGTCTTCAGTCCCCTTGGTATCGCCTGAATCAGTAGTTGGTCTCGAGTACTTCTTGTCTGTTTTTATATCTTCATCGCTATTTTCAGTGGATTCTGATGATAATTTACGTTTCCTTGTGCGGCTGGTTGTTTTTGCCGGTAACAATTTTCTTTTTTTCCTCTCCTGTAAAACCAACAGGATGTCATTATGTCATTCGTAAACGATGATCATTTACAACAATGATGGAGTGAATGTGCTCATATATTGATGTGTGTTGTGATTTTTGACCAACTGACACTTTTAAAAGAAAAGATTTTTTGCTTTGACGTGTTAACATACACTGGTGTGGATTGCTTTGTTCATGAACACAACTTCTTAAGTATTCGCTAACGAAGTAAATAAGGCAATATCAATGAAATCATAAAATTTTTAGTCGCACCATTATATATTGAAAAGGAAAAGAAGATTAAATAATTATAAATTTTTTCCTTCGACTTACTTGTTTCCCAGAATCTGAAGAGTTGCTGTCGTCGGAGATTGGAGATATTGAAAGTTTATCAGTTCTGGTGCTAGTTGCGGGGTACATCTATAAATATTACAAATTTGAACCTGATTAGTAATGAGCAAGTGGAAAGTAGACCAGGTGTCAGTATACACCAGTGCCGATATTATGACCAGACCTACGCTATTTCAGCTTACCTCGGAATTTTCTGAGTCACTGTCTGATAGCAGCTGCCTTGAGCCTCGCTTGTTGGCTTCTTTCAAATTTTTATCATGTCTCTTTAAATCTGTCTCACTCGATCGGTCCATTTTTTTGTTCACTCCAGATGGACCCGGCTCTTCTGTTGCCCTCTCAACGACAGTTCGTTTGTCAGTAATCTTATTTTTCTTCCCCTGTGAGCCTTTCTGTTTGACACTGTCCTGCTTGGAAGACTCATGAGAAAAATATTCCTGTATTGTCTCGGAAATGTCCTGCGCAAATACAGATAGCTCCTCATCATCATTGAGTTTAATAGAAGCACTGGTTTTCCAGTCAATTTGCTCCTTCACTGGGAATGGGGGGCCCTGGTATCTGTGCTCCAAGACATTATTCCATAAACGACCATACATTTGCTTGCTCTTCGGTGTAACGAATTTTGGAAATAGAACGGCAAACTTTTTTGATTCGCTCAACATGATTCGGAATGACTCCAAGTATTGGCCGTGCAGTTCGTCACTGACATTCATCCCGGGGCAGTAATCTGCAAGATCCATGACAAGCAGTTGTGTGCATGTTTGGCAGTGATCCAAGTGAAACTGGATATCAATGCACAGTCCATACACTTGCGTGTAACGCAAATGATCTCGCAATTTCTGCCGAATCAATCGGAAATTCGGAGATTCCTTGGACATTTGTCTCAATAGGATCGTGTTGAGAACAAATTTTTCGTAGAGTGCAGAGGAGGAATTGTGCAACATCAAGAGTAGTTTGTATGGATTCTTTTTGAAAGAAGCTGGATTGAAAAAAAACATGATTTCTAAAAGACCACAATAAAATACGTGTCGCAGATTGAAGTTATCCATCGTAAAAAAATTGCGGAACTCTGCTGGTTCTTCAGACTCTGAGTCGGACCTACAAAAATAAAATTTTTATTTCTCAAGTAATGTTTATTTTTTAACTTTGATATTTAAAATTACTATTATTTTCTGAGAAATGTTCCCCACCTCTGGTCAAGTAATTCCAAACACAAACTTTAACTTTATTTGAAAGAGGATTTGGCAAATTATGAGAAATTTTTTCTTTTTTGCAATTTTTGACCAACTGACAAAAAAAAACCAGTGCGTGGAACGCCACGCGGTAGAAGTGAAATTTCCTTGAAACTCTGACTCGAGTGTTACTAATCTATAGTATTCAAGGTTGGGAATTAGTGTTTATTAAATAAGACAATAACGAAGACGAACGACCACGCACGAAGCAACCCGAACGCGTGCGGTAGCCCCAGCGGTACAGCGACTCCCCTCAACGCACGCCCTCCCCACCACTATTCTCCCTTTCTTCTCCTTTCCCAGCTACGCTCCGACCAGCCAGCTCGTATTTTACCCCGACGGCAGAAATGTCCAACCGAGCCAAAAGAAGTTTCACTTAAAAAAAAAAACAAAAAAATCACTGGATTCTTAAAGTCAACTGTGAATATTGAATTTCCCAAAGCTATAGCCAATCACTACAGTGCGGAGTAACATTTAAAAAAGTCGTAAAATTACTCACATGATTTATAGACTCCTACGAATACCTGGCGAATGGAGGCTGACTCTTTGAAATAGAAATAGTATATTTCTGCCTTAGGGATATCAAAGTAGTATCGTCAAATAAGCTTTTGATTTTTAACCAAGTTTTTTCAATTCTCCGCGAATTTGTGATTACCCGTCATCATTGATTTATTAATTAACAAATACGAACATTTGTAAGCAAAATTCTATTGAATGATTATAAAATATTTCAGTTAATTTTTTATATGACTCTCGTCGTTGTATCCTGTGGTGAGTAGGTGGCAACGCTGTTTGTTTAGACGGCTGATATATGCACCTCTCATCTCCAGGTTAGGTGAATCCGAAGTTGCCACATGACCGGAACTCTCGAATTCAAACTATCCAATATGGCGGTCGGGCGCATCGTGAGATTTTTCATTTAATTTTTTTCGATTATTTCTTCGGAAACTTGTATTTTTCAAGGTCTCAAAAAATATTAGGATGAATAACGAACAAAGTTATATACGGTTATATGTACGAAAAAACGCTTTAAAACCCCCAACCATTGAATTGAACAAGCGAGTGGGGTGCTCTTATGGGGAATGTTTGTTAAATTTCATTTTTCAACATTTTTTTTCTCAAATATTTGTTCGGAAACTAAGTTCGAAATTGTGCTCAAAATTAACATTTACCCCTATTCTGTCAATTCTGGGACGGATTTGTTCCAAAAAAAATTAGCCGAAGTACTTGGATATCCTTAGGGAGCGAAGTCAGACAAGTCTTCCCCACGTGCAGAATTATCACCCGAGCCGAAGGCGAGGGTGGTAAGCACGTGGGGAACGCTTGTCTGACTTCGCTCCCGAGGCTTGAGTACGATTTTTCTTCCTACTAGCGGGTAAAGTTGCGTTCCTAACCTCGCTTCGCTCGGTCAAACCGAGCGCCCGACCGCCTCGCTTCGCTCGGTCAGGAACGCAACTTTACCCGATAGTAGGAAGAAAATCGATTTTTTCCCCGAAAATCTGAAAAAATGAATGTCATAAAAAAAAATTTCGTCAAAAAATTGATCAAACAGACCGTTTAGTTTTCGAGATATCTGATTTTGAATTTTTTTATTTTGTTAACGAAAAAAAAAAACAAAATTTTCCGAACTTTTTTTCCGAGAAATTCGCGGGCCCCGTGGCGAGAGAGAGCGCGAATATTTTCCAGTGGCAAGACAAAGACAGCGGAACCACGATTAGTGTGCGCATGTGCATGTATGCAGCGGGCCTTTGCGTGCAGCCTCATCGCCGTGCAAAATGTAGGGTCAGAGCCCGGCATGCTCCTCATTGAATTGAAACACAGGATTGAGAAAGCTGCACTCAAATGTCACATCACGACACATCTTTTCGGAGTTTTTTTTATCGTTTGCAACAATTTTAATACATGCAAGTTCGTTGCACCTGCCGACCTGCCTCTCTTCATTAATTATGCTTTTGTCCTCCATGCTGGATTATTTCCCCCTAACATACCATAAATGAAATAACACATGCTAACCTACTTTCTAGCACAGGATATTCACAAACGGTGAATCTCTCTGGTATACTCGGTAATATGTTTGCACCCAACTTGTTTGAATACTAAATATTGACAATAGCAAGTTTCTGCTCTCTGTGACGTACATCAACACCATGAAGTATCCATTATACAATTTTAATTATTTACAATTTGAAATTATGCAGAAACTGGCATTGGAAAATAATATATGCAATTAATATTTATGATACAATTAGCAAAGTGAAGATTTTAAACTCATGTCACTTGATATATCAGTTATTAATTCCTCAACTCGTTTGTTTGATATTGAAATAATAGTCTGGAAGCCTGAAATATAAAACATAAATAAATAACACCATTCATCAGTATTAGTAATATTGGTAATATGAATAAAAAACCTCAATTTAATTTCAATTGCAACAGTACTTGACCTCCATTTGCGTATCAAGATTCATGTCCACGTAAACAGCATTCTTATATGGCAATTTCTTCTACATTACTTAATCACCGCATTGAAAAAGACGTTTGTATTTTAACCTCAACACCCAACGGTTTAGTCCAGTCAATAAAGGTCTGAACCGCATGGTTTTGCTAATCAGCCTGGTTTTTTGCATGTGAATAGTTTTTGTGATCATAATGAAGAAATAGGACGGTTGGGGGTGCTCACCTTTCAGGTAAGGGTGAAAAATTGAAAAATTACCCCCAAAAACACGTTTTTTTGCGAATAACTAAAAAAGTATTAAAGTTACGATGTAAAAGGTTATTATAAAAATTGTAGAGCGCAAAATTTTCTACAAGAAAAGTCCTGATGAATTTTCCCCTATCTAGCATTCTTCATCCCCCAGAGCGGTCGGAAAGGGTAGGGGTGATACAAATGATGAAAAAAATTCTAAGAATTTATTTTTTCAATTTTTTTTTCCCGCCAAACGTTTTTTGGAGGCTCCGACTTAGGGCTGAATTTTTTTCACCCCATTGGTAAGGGGTTCTCACTTAAAAATAGCCGATAATCAATTTCAATTTTTTACTAATCGACAAATCGATTTTTTTTCCTCCATAATTTTAATTATAATTTTTAGAAAAAGTTTCGTTTGAAACTTTTTTTTTTATCTCGAACAGGTTTTTAGTTATACGCGATTTTCGGTAAATAATTTTCCGCTTGAGAATCACCGGGAGTGGGGAGCCCGGAGCCGGTAGGGGAGGTACGCGTGAGAGAGACACGCGATATATGTCGGCACCGCTCGCACTCCCATGAGTCTCTCCGACTCAATGCGCATGCGCGTGACGTCACCGCCCAAGTAGCACACTTGTCCGAAAAGTATCTACAAGTTATCTTTATCTGGTTGGCGTTTGGACAAGGGGAAAATGATGTCAATACGGTGGAGGTTGGATAACTTTTTTCAAGACATCTTTCAGATGTTCTCTGAAAGACAACTCCTACATGTTATTGAATGAGACGTGTCTGGAAGACGACTGAAGATCGTCAATCATGATCGATACCTTTTTTTTGTTAACGGAAAAGAGACGTTTTCTCGCATTCCATTACGGTAGACGTGAATACGGTATCTGAAAGTTATCCTCACTTCCAGCCTCAACGATACCGCCGTTTACGATATCTGAATGATGTCGATTTGACGGAGTACATTACGATAGAGTTTTTCAGCACATCTGAAAGTTATACATTATCCGTCATTCAGGACTTATAACTATTTTCTGATTCCTCAAAGACATCCATTTTCCGATAACATGGGGCTGACTCTGCACAGTTATCTTGAAGGGGTATTTTTTTCGACGATTTGCAGAGACCGGAAGTGGATATCCAAGAGTGGTCTTTTTTTTGCCGGCGAAATTCATCCAAGTGATAGTTTTTATCTGATACCGAAAAGGTAACTATTCCAGGATAGTCACGTGACATATTCTAGAAACGACCACAAGAGGGTGTCCTACTGTTGACATATTTTTGAATCATTTATCGTAACATTTCATTGTCACCGGGTTGGGCATCAGATGGATACCTTCTGGATTCTTTTGTCTAGAGACTTTTCCAGATATTGTGTTACGCAGTGTCATTTGTGATTCGGTTGCATACAGTGAACAATGCTCTGTGGAATTACATCTGTAATCTCTCAAAATAATCTCATTGATGTAAGTAAATACTCTGAAGAGTGTGCTGAAGCTGAATTTCATCGAATTAAAATATTTTTCATCCATTCCGTATGTTTTCAGTGGCTAATTGGTAAATACTGATCAACTGCGTCATATGTATTCACTGGATCCAGAGTGACAGCGTGCATTGGGATAAAACACGAAAATTTTCATTACAATCCGCAAGTCTTGAAATATCTTTGACACCGTGAGTAATTAATTTTCATTGATCAATCAAGTTCTAATTTTGAAATCAGGAATGTTCGCAAATATTTTTTCGGTCTCCATTGTGATTCCTGGTGCCATTTTCGCCTTATTAGTTATTGTTGTTATTACTATGTTACAAACAAAAAAAATCAAATCCTTCAGTGAGTTATCTCGTCGACAGCAATATTTCTCCGAGCATCAATTTTTATGGTTAGACTCTCATAAGCATGTCATAACATTCTCCATTGTTATTTACAGAAATTGTTATAGGCAAATGTAAAGAGAAACAATTAGTTTATGACAAAGATACCATCCAAAAGAAAATAAGGGAATGGCTACGTCGATCAGGAGATCGAATCAAGGCAAAACAAAAGCAGGAAAAAAAACCAGAGCCCGTCTGCGAGAAGCTGCAACTAATAATTCTTAAAACTCACTCAAATGTTATTTGAAAATTCGTATCGTTAAACACTTCATAATATATATTGTAAGATTCACACCGTGATACAAAACCAAATTTATAAAATAAGTGTTTTGTGATTTATTTTGAAAAGAAAAGAAAAGAAGAAAAATTGAGCTTCACTTTGTTATATAGAAAAACTGAGGTCATATATGACTTACCAGCTCAAAAGGGCTTATATCGTCAAGAGTTCCAGTAGTGTTTATTGATGTACAAAAGTGTATATAAAGTAAGTGAAAGAAGATTTATCAGATCATAAGTTATAGCGTCTTCATGACAACAACGATACTTATATTTGCATATCTCTCTTCGTGAGAGGATTGGTATTTCTTTTTTTGTACGTAAATTGAAAGTTTAATAATTTACTGTTTTGTAAACTCAAAAAGGAGGAAGAGCAGTGTAATAAAAGTGTTGAAATATAGCGCCCTACGCCAGTCTCCCTCTTTACCGACAGTGTGGCAGACTGTGTCGCCAAGGCGCCGTTGCGCCTCTCAATGATATACTCGTACTATGCACCACTTGTGCCTCGACCGTTGTCGCGTTACGTTGCTGAATAAAGCTTAATTACTTTGACGATTATAAAACTGTGTTTAATCATTATTTCTATCCCAGATAACCCTTCAGGTTATGGGCCGAGCACACTTCAACTGTGCGTGATTAAAATTTATCATAAATAAAAGGATTGGAAGCGATAAATCGGAAATTCCAAAAAGGACGCTATCGGGCGGCCGGGCACGTGTCCGGGTGGATCACACGCGTTCGTGCAAATCACAAGGAACATCCAAAAGAGAAAAATATTGAGGCGAGCTGGGGAGTGACTTCAGAAGGAAAGGAAAATGGAAAGTAATAAG